GGCCGCGGCCTGCGTGGGCCCGTGGGCAGCGCGCTGCGGGGTGGGGCTGGGGGCCCTTTTCCTTCCCTCGCCTCACTTGCCCCAGGGAGAGCCCTCGAGGGTCAGTGGGACTCTGGGGCTGGGGGTACCGGCCCGTGTGCCGCCGCTCGGTGACCGGGACGTGAACCCTTGGTGCGCGCTCTGTCGTTCCGCTGCAGGCTTGGCTCTGCCTCCCCGGGGCTCGGGGGTGCTGGCCAGAGGGTTGTAAACATTGCCCCGTCACCCACAGGTGCTCCACAGCTGCCTTGTGCACCCATCTGTCACACTGTACCCATCTGTCAGCGTCTTTTATAAGTAGCATTATTTCTTCGGAAGTTACGACTTTTAAGATTTATTTTTTTTATAGGTAAATCAATTGGAGCAGTAGGCCCTCTGCTGAGCCCGTGCTCTGACAGCTGGTTGTTGTGAGCCAGGTGGCAGCTGAGCCGCTGCCCTTAGGAACCAGCGTGCGTGTCGGTGCTGCCTTCACAGATAAGCTGTTTGCTGTTTCAGGTGTGCTTAAGGTCTTTATTAAATTCAGATAGGCTGTCTCGGAGTAAAAAATGTGATAGAACTAAATTTAAGCTGTCTGCTGTTCAATGCGTAATCTTCCTGGGTTTCAACCCAATTAGTGATGGACCACTATGGTGGTTACTCATTCAAAATCTGAAAGAGGACTTGCTGTTAAAAAAAACAATGCTTAAAATATCCAAAGAAAATCTATGCTGTTACCTCATTTTCAAACTCTGTCCTTTTCTTCAACTTTTGAAATAGTGTATCAAAGAGCAGTTTCATATCATAGAATAAACTGCACTCTAGAAGGCAGATACCGGTTTATTCACTGAGTTTCTGAGGGATTTTGTTTTTTGTTGTCTGTGGTAACATTTTACAGCATGAAAATGATCATATGTGAAACCATAGCTTCAAGTGATCACGTTTAGATCCTACTTGAAAAACTGCAGATACACCCTTAACAGTAGACTTTAAGCTCTCACTCACTTGCGAGTTGTGTTTTCAGACTTAACCGTGGCTGCGGTGCAGGGTTGGTGTGGTTGGGTTGGACGGAGGGTTTTTTCGGTGCTCTGGTTGATAGTATCCACCCAGGCACGGCACAGTGTGTTTCCAGTTACTGCAAGAGCTGTTCAGCTTGTGTCACTGGTTTCTGTTTCCTAATAATTCCATAGAGGGATTTAAAACTGTCTTTAAAAGCCTGATATCATCTCTTATCTAAAGTTTCACAGAGTGTGGAAGTAAGCGCTATTCTTACAAGTTCAGAAGTGAAATGATGAATTTTTATCTAGAAAAATGCAGGTTGAGAGTAGGGGAAAAAATTGCCTGTTTTTCAGAATATAAAAGAAGCGAGTGTGAGTGAGTTTGCTTGGCAATCCTTGCTGCCAGCGATGTTCCCTTCAGGAGGCTGGCTCAAGATGTTACCAAAGGCACTTGCCGGGAATTCTGCATCCCTATGGTCAGAAGTGGTCTCCAGTATGCAAACCCATCTCCTTAGTCCATGGAGTGGCTTACGGGGCTCCACAGGAGTCACTGAATGATATTTTGATGATGAAATTATGTTAGCCAGGATTGTTGGAGACATTTTGAAGTGATAGCCGCCTGCTGTTGATGTGATACTAGAAAAATGACTTTTCCCTTTTTGTTAAGGAGGCACAACTAATTTGGTGATGTCTGTAAAAGTAGTTGGTATCACAAGATTGTGTTGTCTGGTACAATTTTTCATTAAAAGCTTATGTGTGCTTGCAACTAGTTATTTTCAAGGGAACCCTTGAAATAACCTTTAAGTAGTATTTTTATTTTTGTCTTCATTGTGGTTTCTAAACAGCAATAGACAGAGTTTTCATTGTTCTGCTTTTATGGTATTTTTAACGTGAGCCTGAGAGTTTGTGTGTATTGAACAGCCTCAGCTTGGTGTAGCTCTGTGACTTGGACATGTTCAGCAGTCTAACAGTTCTTGATAGCAGTGCAGAGCCACTATGGGTTTTTTTTAGTGCTTTGATTTGACTGCTGTGAATTATGTACCTACTTTTCCAGTGTGATAAGAGTAGATTTAACATCTCTATTCAAATATTACCAGTGTGCCTTTACAATTAGCTGCCCATTTTTTCCCCATTTTAAAAGTATTTTTCTTCAGGCACTGCCAAGCTGATACAGAGGCTGCTCTGGGTGTATTTGGATAGCTCTAACACTGCTTTTATTGTGGTGATAGGAATTTAACCTATATTAATGCCACTTCAGATGATTAAAGGGCTTGCAGAGTAATCCTGTTCTCACTTTATTCATGTGAATCTTGCCCCTTAAAGTCTTTTCTGCAGTGCATGAAGATTTGTTGTTTTATCCATAAGTTTAATAGATGGAAAAGGTTAATACAACTCAAGACTGTGAAGTTATTCTCACCTCAGTAATCTGAGCACTTCTCTTACATCACACTGATTGCCCTGATTTGCAGGTTATTTGAGTCGATCGTTTTTGTAAGCCCCGTAGAGGCTTTTCTCGATTGGTATTTTGCTCAAGCAATAAATAAATCTGCTGACGTGTACCTTCTGCCGTGTTTGCTTATTCTTGACCTTTGCTTTTTAGCCATGCAAGGGACAGTTTCAGTCATGACGTTGTGTAACTGGGTGTTTATGCATTGACAAGTGTATTTGTATTCTTGTGCTTGTTGCAGCTGATCAGTTGCTCAGAGTAATGTAGGATGTGGGTAAGGGTTTTCAGGGTTAGTCATGGAGAAACCAAGACTCGAGTGCTTTGTCATCCAAACAGATTTTGTTCCAGTGCAAGCAAACAAAATATTCTTGTCTCCTGTTTCTGTATTATCTTTGTTAAAATATTCTTTTATCCTCTTTCCATATTATCTTAGTAAAATATTATTTCCACTTCTTTTCATATTAGCCTGTCTACCTGTTGTTGTGTGGTGAAGATGCTGTTCATTGTAACAAGTGTAATTGCTATGACAGATGCCTGGATTTTGGTCTGGTTCTGACCTATGTTTTGACCGGTGTGCTGTGCTCCAGGGTCAGAGCTGTCCTAAAGTCATCTTGTGACCCCTCCCAAGGCACCACCACAGCATCGAGTGGGGCAAGACAGCCTGCAGCAGCGTGGGTGCCTCTGCACTTGGCAGTGAGGTCCACTCTCTCAGGGATAGTTGGAATCCCCCTCCCCTGATGTTAGCAGGGGTTGTGTGCTCCAGTAGAAATTAGCTGGCTAAATGCTTCTGAGGGTGCTGCCTTTTAGTCTTTCAAGAGGTTTTCACTCCAGATACTAATTCACTTGTCAAACTGGTGATTTCAGTGTGATTATCCTCGCTTTAGATAATGAGGAAACTAAGGTGAAAGCTAAGAAATTAATTGCGCGTGGCTGTGCAGTGAACCTGGGGATGGCTTTATTCTTCTTGCGCCCCAAAACATCCCTTTGGCAGTAGCGTGGTTCCTCCTCAGTGCTGCCTGTCCTCCTGGGCACCCAAAGTGTGCCAAAACTCCCCCGACACCTCCGCTGTGGCCACTTGCTTGGAAGCAGCCCTGCCTTTGGTGGCAGAGGGGTTTTTTTCTGGGGCAGGAACAGTTGACTTCGTTGGTCTTGTGCAATTCATCCTGACCACTTGCTTCTTTCCCAGGGGTGAGCATAGCAGCCTTTATATTTTTTCAACCATACCACAAAGAAGGGGTATCTGTGGAGTGGCAAGGGGTGTCCTGCCTGTGATGGTCAGCTGAAGTTGGCTGACAGTTGTATGGCACAACTAGAGTGTTGGTTGTAGTCATCCTGGCTGTTTTCAGCTCAACCTCTTCTTGAATCTAAGCTGAAGGAATTTGGTGGGAAACATGGTGTTCTAGAGTCCCTTTTTTTTTTTTAGACATAATTTTTGCATTTAAGGTTTAAATCGTGGCAGCCTGTGCTGGAGAGTACAGGAGGTCACAGTCCTTGAATGGCAATTCCAGTGCTTTATGCTAATGGTTGTTTCCCATTACAACCCAAGCAGACAGATTCTGTGCAGACAATAGGGATTTCTTTGGTATCAAACTTCTCTGGATTCAACTTCACAAAACTTCTTTGACTCTTACTGCCTCTGCTTCAAACCCCAGCAGCTCCCGAGGGTGGCTGGAGCGCTGACATCCCTCTGTTGCCCTCTCAAATGGGTCACTTATTTTCCCAGTTGAAAAGTCTATGTGAAGATCTTATTTGAAATCCTCAGTGGAACATCACACACCTCCATCAAACCGTACTTAAGAAAATTATTTTTACTTCTTGCAAAGACTTTTGTCCATGTAGCATTTTTCAAGAGGAGGAAAAGGTCTTTGCTGTGGAATCACAAGGTCTGGATTCGGTTTTCATTTCTCCACTAATTTTTTAATGCGTTGTGGGATCACTTAATTGCTCCATGAGACAGATTACCAAAGTGAAATTGGTTTTTATTTTTCACACAGGACTTGGAATTACTTTTGTTACCTATAAATGTCTTACAATGCTTGATGTGCTGTTCTTAAATGCATTATATTTTCTGTTTATTTCAGACTATAAGATTCAGATATGTCCTTCATATTTGATTGGATTTACAGTGGTTTCAGTAGCGTATTACAGTTTTTAGGTAAGTTTTTACTGTTTGGGTTTTTTTCTTTCTGCTTTTCTTGTATAAAGTATCTGTTCCCCTCTGTTATCTTCAAACATAGCCGCTGGTTAAATAATAGTATTTATTTTGGTGTATATTCAGGTACACTTAAACAAAGGTTTCACTAATCAATACTGAGTATTTCCAGAGTGTGCTCTTGACTCAATCTTACATTAATCCTTAACCTCTTGAAAAAATTACATTTTCTTTTATCAACATAATAGGTTTGATTTTTCTAATCATACCTACATTTAAGCTGGTGTCATTCAGCTGACTTATGGATTTTTCTCCTGATTTTTCGCTGCTGTAAAGAACTCAACTCAGTTATTTTAGTTCAGATCTCTTGCACTGAGGGTATCGCATGAGAATCCAAATATGAGGGACTGTCTACAAAAAATTGGTGCTGCATATTGAAGCCCTTGCTTGTGTTCATCAGCACATTATTCTGTGACTCCTGACACTGAAATCAGTGTGAAACTTCACTGGCATCTGCTGAAGAGCCTCAGGAAAGTGTTGCCTGGCCAAAAGTCTGCCATCCAAGGTGAAATACTAGCTTGTGCAAAACAGGAGGAGGAAAAAAAACCAACAAACAACCAAGGGGGAGAAAAAACCTCAACCAACCAGGAGGAAAAGGAATGTTAGGATACTAAAAAAAAGGAACTGAAGTTGGCAGATCACTTGGGTAAAAGGCGCAGTTTACAAGTCCGAAGGATTTTTATTGAAGTGGATAAAAGGCATTTGAGATTAAGGAATCATGGCAAGCTGTGCCACCTGCCTTTTATCAGTTGAAAGTTTAAACTTTTTCGCTGAATGTTAGACTCTTGGCCTACTATCGAAATATTAGCCAGTGAAATTTTAACTAAGTTGACTAATCTTTCTTATCTCCTCTTACTTAGCCAAGCAGTGATTACTGCATGCTAGCCCGCTTTCCCATTCCTGTGCATGCAAAGTCTAATTCTGGTGAAAGATGCTGGAGACTGAAGTAGAAAGGAGAATTACTTCCAATATATCCCTCTTATTCTAGAAGAAATGCTTTCTCATTTAATTTTCATTTACATTTACAGTTGAAAAAGGCCAGTTAGAACCTTTGGGGAAAATCCCCGCAGTTCCCTGTGCTGTCCTGTCAGCAGGCTGATACCATCACTTTATCAAGTACATCTTTGCATACATACACTTTTAAAATGCACAAAGAATCTCTGATCTTAGTGTAATTAATAGCTGAAATATTGCTGATCTTGTGTTTCTATGAAAGTCACTTAAAAATGCAAAATGTTTCTGAGAAAGCAGTGGCACCTGATTTGGGAGCAAAGGCTCCTGGATGTCCAGGCTGAGAGTGACAGAAATATTGTTTTACTGTGGTTTAGTAGAGTGTTGCTTAACTCGTAAGGTAAGTGTGAACTGGAGTTTCTCCTGTAGCATGAGTTAATGTATAAAAATGTTTGCCTACTCCTTCTTTCCCTGTAAATATTAATACTTTCTCCTCTACTGGGTAGTTCAGTATATATTTGGACATGTGAGAAGGTGAGTTTAGGAAGTAAGAGTTGTTGTATTTGAAAGAACTGTGAAGACACTGTACAGTACCTGTAGTAATAAAGATCATTCATGAAATAAGCTGAGGGAAATGAAACAGTATTCATTCCTGCAAGTTACAAAACATGTCCCACTGGAATGCGATCCCAGAGATTAGCTTAAAGGCAGAGGGAGAGGTGAGCAAACAGCAGTGGTGTAAAGGTCAGCCAGGCCGAGGCACGTATACCCCTGTAGTGCTGAGGAATCGGTGGGGCTGTGGGAGCAGCCCCCTGTGCAACAGCATTGCTTAAAATCCCACAGATAAAACCTGCGTGAGGATAACAGATTAAGAAGGAAAAATGAGGGCTCCAAAAACTGATGTTATGGGCTCGCTCTGTCCACTACCCACCTCACTCGGGGAGACCCAGACCCTTTGGACACCACCCGCCTCTCACCTGCAGCCCTGAGGCACGGCACAGGATGGTGCTGTGTGGTTTGTGGGTGCTGGTTGTGCTGGAGAAGGAGCAGTTAAGAGTAGGGACTGCAGCCCTGGAATGGTTGAGCTTTAACAGTAAATCTTCACAAAATGTTTTTGTATCATCGCAGTGGTGGCAAATAAACTTTTCTTCAGCATATTGCAAAGTACCATAATACTATGACATTATATAGTAAAAGATCCTGGTGATGTAAAAACCTCCCACACTGCAATATTTGGCTGCATTTTGCAATTCTTTTTACACAGAAAGAGAGAATTCTGTTAGGATTGTAGCTCAGTTTTGCTTTGGAAGCAGTGTAATTTCAGTGTGTGTGTGTGTGTGTATATATTTTTTTTTTTTCTTTTTTTTCTCTGTTGTAAGTGTTCTGCCCTCCAGCACTTGTGAAGGCTGTGGGGTCAGTAGTGGTGCCTAAGGAGATGTGCAGTGCGTAGTAACCAGCCACAGTCCTTCTGAAGAGGGAAAAAGGGAAGATTTTTCTGCTTAAAAAAAAAAAAGCAAAGTTAGGAGACTCTTCTCTATAGATCATGATTTTAAAAAATTTATTTTGTCTTAAAAATGTTTTACTTTGCATGTCAGTCAGTTTGAAGCAGTGAAAAATAATCCTGGCATAGGGCGTAGTGTTGGCAAGTTATAAGAGAATTGCCCTTTGATAATCACAAACTTCAGAAAAAATGGGTGTTAATGTTTTAAACGTTCTTCCTTTCCTTCACAGCAACTGTTGCATTTACTGGGGTTACAAGTAGAGGAGAAAAGAAAGAGGAAAAGGCATTTTTATAAAGATGACAATCAGTGAAAATAAATTTTCTTATTGCTGTTATGAAAGCATTATCACATGACAGCAAGTGTGTCAGAATTGTCCTGACGATGCCATTCAGGATATGTACATCCAGTTTAGCTGGGGGTGTGGGTGAATGTTAATTTTTATCAAAATAATATATGAACCAACATAAAAGAATTCATATATATATATATATATATATATATATATATATATACACTAACGATGACTATTGATGTTGAAACCAATTTCTCTGTAATACACTGATTGAGATCTGACCTTCCTTTTTGCCTCTAACAAGTTTTTTGTCATGATTGGAGGTAGCTGACCAAAACACCCTCTGTTCAGCTCCAGGATGGTCGGTATTTTAGAGCCCACTGTTAGAGCTGTACCCTCACGCTCCCCTCTCTCCACCACCTCTGAGCAAAGCTGTCCTCCTTTTGCTGGGGTCGAGTAAGCTACTGGCAAAATTTAGTCCTGTTCTGCTGTGGTTTTCTAAGGTAACGTAAATGCATTTACATGAGTGACACGTTTACATCAATTGTCTGCCTCTCCCCATCCCACTAAGCATCCCGTAAGCTGCACGTGGTACACACAGCACAGCAGGCACATGAGCAAGTGTCACTGTAGTTTGTACGAGTAGGAGAGCGTGGATAAAGGGCATTGATAAAGTGTGTGGTGGAACTTGGCTCATCTGTATTTTGTACCATAACACTTTGTTCCTGTGAGCAAAATCATCTCTAGTGCTAGAAACGAACTCCCACTGATTTAACTGATCATTCACTAGGTCCTTCTTTGTTCTAGGACTGTATAAGAAATCGGGCAAACTAGTGTTCCTTGGACTGGACAATGCTGGCAAAACTACACTGCTACACATGCTCAAAGATGACAGACTGGGACAACACGTCCCCACGTTACACCCCAGTAAGTTGTTATCGCTGGTTCCATAGCCAGAAAGTATTTCAAGTGTCGCAGGAAAACTGATTATACATCATAAGACCAACAGTGTAATTGGGGAGATACAAAGGAATTTCTAGGATTCCAATCTGTAGATAGTTCAAGTAATATGAAAAAAAAGGCATAGAATAGTTCAGTGTGCTATGTTTAAAATTCAGAAGCAAGTAATAAGCAGGTTGATGGACCTGAGAGCCTAGATCACAGAAGCTGTGGGACTACAGGGCAGATTAGCATTTATGTCCACTGTTCTGATTTTTTTTTTTTTTTTTTTTTTTTTTTTTTTGTTATTCTGGTAGCCTCATAGGAGAAGTTTAACACGGGTTAAAAATGTGGACTGGTGAAGTCCCAGTAAGGAGGTGAGAAATTGGGACAGGATGTGAAGAGAGGAAACCTTGAACAGTATTGTACATGAAATACCATCTTTGTGGCAAACCAGATGCCAGAGCCAACTGTTGTTTGTATAATGTGTAGGGATAAATAATGTACAAATATTCTCCGCTATTCTTAGCATTGTTATTTCACGTGTGTTTTAATGGTTAATAACACTTTGTTGTTAAACAAACGGGTCATTGATTTTTGAGAGAAAATGTATTACTCTGATATGCTTCTTGAATAACAAAATACTGAAAAGAAACGAGAGGGGAAGTAAAATCTACATGCTGGAAGGTTAGACTGTTCCAGTGCGCTGCATAATCTTCACAGAGAATATAACTGTGTGTATTTCCAGCTTCAGAAGAGCTGACGATTGCTGGCATGACTTTCACTACCTTCGATCTGGGTGGACATGCTCAAGGTAAGAGAATACATTGACTCACTTCAGTGAATTGAGTTAGAGTTGTCTACAGTCCGTTTTGTTTCAGATCAGAAATAGGACCGTGCTGCGGAGATTGACAATGGACTTCCCACACTATGGACAGCATAAAAAACCATTCTCTGCTCTTTTGTCCATCTCTACCACTTATCACAAATCCCAAATACAATTTGGCAAGAGCTGTGGTAGAGCAGAAATTTTGACTGATATCTGTATTTTGAAGAGGATTCTGTACTTGGAACTGCTTACATCTACCATTAAGCTTTATGCTTGAAACTTACTTTTTTTGACATAATTCTTGGGGAAACATATAAAATTTCAGTACATCAGTGTGTGTGGGGGATAGAGTGATAATAACAGTAAAGGGAATGATACTTTTACAAGGCTTGAAATAATGGAGCAAAACTTGAAATTGCATCCTGAAGACTGGCAACATAAGATAAGACTTAAAAAAAACCCTACAACCCTGTTCCTTCTTAATTACTGATAGACATTTATTTTGATCTTTGGGATGATTTCCTTCTGGTTTTAATTCGTATTTTCCCTGTAGCACGCAGAGTGTGGAAAAACTATCTGCCTGCAATCAATGGCATTGTGTTCTTGGTGGACTGTGCAGACCAAGAAAGATTGCTTGAATCAAAAGAAGAACTTGATGTAAGTTTAAATAAGTTTTTGAAAGTTTTAACTTTGAAGAAATAAGCTCAAACTCCCAGTATCCAAGAGAACTCTGCTGCCACCTGCACATGGGTAGTAGAAATCTGACGTTTTGTATTCTAAATTAATCTCTCCTCCTTTTTCCTTTCCTTTGTAGTCACTAATGACAGATGAAACTATTGCTAATGTGCCTATCCTAATTCTTGGTAACAAGATTGACAGACCTGAAGCCATTAGTGAAGAGCGGTTACGAGAGATGTTTGGTCTATACGGCCAGACAACAGGAAAGGTAATGCTCCTTTTTCCTTCTTTTTTTAAAAACTATGATCAAGTTTTCAGAGGCTATAGTTCTGGTGAGAAACATAAGAGAAGGCTGGGTAAAGTATTTCAGTAAGTGACTTCTCTCATTAAAAGTGCAGACTTAGCACAATTTGTTACTTAACACGTTCACCTAAAGCTTAGAAATAGATTTACACCATTGTAGAAGTCTTGAGATTGTAGGTGGGGTGGGGAGGAAGTCCTACTGACATCTGTAGGCATATTTCTATCATGGATCTTTGTGATACTTCAACCCTTCTTAATTTAAAGTAAATAGTGTACTGCTTGTAGGAGACATTTGGATACAGGGCATTAGAAACAAGTTGCTCTGTTGTCATTTGCCCATGGAAAGACACCTCTGCAGCTGACAGCTGTTCCATGTGGCTGCTGTCCCAGCTCCTGTTAGGTGACCAGCTGAGGAGGGCACCTGGTCTTGGAAATTCCTCTTTGCTTATTCCCACATAGATTCTTCCCTTCAAGTTCTGCACCAGTCAGAGTTTAGGTGAGCGGGAGTAAATCTTTACCACCTTGTTTTCTGTGTGAAAGAATTGCACAGGTTAGTTTTAGAATAGTTGTAATGGGTTATAAACAGTTACTACTGAACTCTCTTTTTTTTGAGGGGGTTGTTGGGGTTTTTTGTATCTTGCCCTGGTTTTTACAAGACTGCACATGGTCTATGAAGTGTGAATACCACTGTGACTCTCCAGTTGAGCTTTGTCACACTGTGCTGATCTTGGCAAACAAGCAACTCACACTCTTGCTGCGGTCAGTCCTACAGCTGGTTGCAAACACTTTTTATCTGGTTGGAAAGCTGTTGGAAACAGAGCAGGGAACTGCGACTGAAAACCAAGTATAAGCTCTCAGATTCTCTGTGTACAGTCTGTTTCACATACTTCACCCTCTCCAAATGTAGATGCACGTGAAAATATACTTCATGTATTTCTCAAGTGACCCTTATCCTAGTAACATGTACATGGTTTAGATTAATTTCTTTTCTAAAATTTCTAGTATCCAACACAAGTTAAATAACAGCGTTCCATAAAAACAAACGTCCACATAAAATAGCAGTATTTTTGTAACGCTACTGTACCTTGGCATCCTTGTGTCTCTGCAGGGCAGTATACCTTTGAAAGAGTTGAACGCCAGGCCGCTGGAAGTGTTTATGTGCAGCGTGCTGAAGAGACAAGGCTACGGAGAAGGCTTCCGCTGGATGGCACAGTACATTGATTAATGCCAAAATCACATCAGTACGTTCTGTCCCATGTCAAATACTAAGTCTGCTCCTTATTTGATCACTCAGTGTATGTAACTTGAATTCATTTGACTGTTTAGTTCTAAAAATACACATTTTTAGCTAATTATATCATGTACGCTAAACTGTAAGTGTGAGGATTGAAAAATTATTTCAAGCAAGTTCATAAGTTTACCACAACCTGTGAGCTTTCTAATACCATGCAACATTCTCTTGCAGCTTTTAATTTAATGAGTCTCCGGCACCGTTTTTGGTCTGAGCAACTTTCCAGTACAGTATGTTTGAATGCACTTTTTAACAGCTAAAAACTATGAACATGTGAAAAAAAAAAAAAAAAAATATTTAATGCTTATGTTAAATTTTTTTATGTACTTTTTTGAAACTGGTTTTATAACTTGAAGAGTATATAACCATCTTTCAAGGAATAATAAATAATTAGCTGATGGATAATTGCATGATGCCTTACGGTTTTCAATAATATACTTTCTTATGCAACGTCATGCAATAAATTTAAATCCAGTTTTCGGCAACTTTAATGGAAAATGTTTCATTTTAACGTGTCTTATCTAGCGAGGCTGCCTGATGATCTGAATATGTGGGATATATTCCTGAAACACAGAAGGCCACAAAGTAGTTTCATTGTATGTTAGAGTAAGGTGGTTTTTTTCAGACTACCAAATTGCATTTATTTTAGGATTTTGCTTTAGTAAAAGAAAAATCTAATCCAATGCCCTTATAACCACCACCTTTAAAAAGTACGAACAATGTGAATCAGCTGTGCCAATGTAAACCTTGAACTAATGTCAAAAGTGGTCTTATTCTACTGGTCTCTTGGATTAAACCCCTGAGGTGACACAAGAAATACAGGAAATAGAGAATACCATTGAACTAAAGGTTTTATTTCTAATTTAATTAGATTTGGGGTCTACCAGAAGATATGCCTGTGAAATTGTTGAGGGGGGGTGGGGGGAGAAAAAAAATGTTGCTGCTGCTGCTTGTGAAAATTTATAATCCCACACCCATTTGACCAGTCTTATTTTTGGTGTTTTGAACTGGGACAGGATGGATTGTTCTGTGGTTTTGCCCTGAAACCTAGCTAGTGTGGCAGCTGCTGGCTGCACAGGTGGCTTATTTCTGGGTAAAATTTGGTTACGTGCAGTCCTTGTTTCCAGACTTCTGACTGGTTTTCCCCCCTCTTTGAGTGCATGAGTTCCCCGAAGGGGATGGGAGGTTATTTTCGAAGAAAGGACACTGAAGCACTTCTATGTCTGTCAACATCTTGTTGATGCTGGCTGAGCTGTGGTTGGTGCTTCCATGTGCTGGGGATGTTTTACTGTCGAATGAGGGTAGGGTTTCAGCCCTGGAGTCATTATTTCACCGTGATGGGTTTAAGTTTCGCTGTGTAGTTTGTTTTCCCCTTGTGCAAGTACAAACTGCTATAAGTGTTTTTACTGTAATCCCTTTTACTCACTGTTGTAGGTCTCTTCCAAAATAATTTAGGGCTTGTGTTTCCAATATCGGTGGCAGCAAATATATTTCTGACCAGTCTGATTTACTAAATAACTTTTCTCTCTTGACCTACTGGGCTTGAATCTCAGATTTAAAGCATATAGAATCAGCAAATAAATGAGACTTATTCCTTGCCTGGATCTGAACTTGTATTGGTGATCAGTTCCCCACAGTCCTAGTTTGTGCATCTGAATAAGATGAGTAATTTGGAACCGAACTAATTGTAACTCCACGTTTATTACTGCACAATCCATATGCAAAGTGCTAAGCCTAGTTTGTGAACGGTGAAGTTCAGAGGGATGATACCAGATAGCTTTTCTAAATGACCAACATAAGAGAATTCTGCATTTAAACTAGTTCTCGGCTGCAGAGTGGCGTCTCTGTTGCACAAATCAAAACCTGGAGGTAAGAAATGGCCTCTCGCCAGCGTGTGGACAATGTGGGAGTCTTTACCTACAGCTGTTACATAGGGGACATGCCTCTCTTCCTCTCTGTTTTTTCTGATGATGGTTCTAATGCAGAGAACAACAGTTAAATCAGTAGATGATGTAAATATTAAAAATACTACTTGCAGAGCCACACTGTGGTGTTGCTGGTGGAGACTGGGGACTGTGTTGCCTGCGCTCATGGAAATGAAGCTGGAGGTGGAGATGTTCTGCTGCAGACCACTTCCACAGGCTGAGCCATCGCGTGGGCACGGAGAGCTCCTCTTCACCTGCTCTTCCAACCAACTGTGAATAACATTAGCACTAAGGAAAGGGATGATAGTATTAAGGATTTAAAAAAGAAGGGAGGTGATACTGCTTTAAAAGTGTGTGTTAAGAGCAATTCTTAGTTTTACAGAAATACTCAGATTTCGTGTTTCCTACCATAGGATGCTAGTTTAAATGTGGTTGTAATAAGGGCATGAAGAAATCTGGATCTTGTTATCTACCTGGGTATTGTAATGGTTCCCGTTGTGGGAATAGCTGATCAACACTCGGTTAAATACACAAACAATCTTGCTCTGTTTCATTTCATTCAGTAGAGGAAGTATCTTCTGTAGTTTACGTTCTGTTTGTGCACATGAATGTGAATGGGTGTTGTGTGTCTTTGTGTGAAGACTTCATTAATAGACTGATGGGAGGGTGGTTTTTTTTCTAGTGGTTTCCATCCCCGCCCCCTCCACGTCTCCCTGGTCATTTATTTCTGGAGGTTGCTTGTTCCCACGATTGTGACCAGCTTACTGAACTTTAAAAAAAAAAAAAAAAACAAAAAAAACCAAAACCAAAAAAAAGCAACATTCATATTTGGGTCTGACTTTTATGAATTTTTTTTTTTTTGCACTTGACTATGCAGATTTCAATTAAACATCACTTTAAAGAATGTGAAAAAGAAAACTCATTAATAAAGATGTTATTTATGAAGTGTCTCACTTTGTTTTTACATCGCAACAGTTCTTTAAGATAAGCTAATACAGATTTCTAATACTTATAACCACTTCTGACAAAGTGGCCTGTATTTCACTGCAGTGACCCCCCTGCACACTAGCATCTGTGGGTTGAATAAGATTTATTTTGCTTGGATTTAATTAAACTTAGGGTTTAGTATGTACTGTGTAACTGAGAGGTATTGCTATATTTCAGTCCTGGTTTAATTTTTCAACAATTCCTGCCATTGGAGATGGGAAGGATCTTTGACCTTTCTCATTCTCTTGCAGGATCAAAATTATTTCATTAATATTTCTGTATTCTGTGTTCCTGTACTGTCTATGATGTGCCAAAGATGACCTGTGTCATTCACTGGAATGCAATACCTGCATGCCTGTGAGCCTGGCTGTATTTTAACAATTGGAATTGAATATCAAATAGAACGTTTGGCATCCAATTATTGATAACTAAGGTCAGGAAATTGGTGGTGGTGGTCTCCAGTCCCAGCGAATTCACAGGTCTGCTTGATGTCAAATTGTTCTTCCGTTTGTACTGTTAGAGTATTTGGTTGTTACCAACCAAAGTCCAATATTTCTATTGACTACAACGTGCTCGGATTTAGTGTAGGTAATGTAATTGTTAGTTATAGATTTAGGAGTTACATTAAAAACAGCCAAATCCCCTGGCTGTCAGTGGGGACATGTAACTTATTTGCACTTAGATAAACAACTATTTGCACTAGTATCTTAGTGTGGAACTAAACATTTTCTGTTTTGAAATGTCAGTGCTCTAAATGTTTAAAAGCATCATTTATATAATAAACTGCAGAAGAAAAGCTAAAGGTGGAAGTGTTTTTAAACATGTTCTTCATCTGATGTTTGTTATGTTATCCAACCCCATGCTTGAAACTTAAGTATTGGGACTAGAAAATAAAATTCTAACTTGGGATTTGAAGAAAATGAGTTTTAAACAGGTGGTTCTTATCAAATTATCAAAATCAGGGGGAAAAAAAGTGTGCTTAGTACGTGGCCTGTAGTGAGTTTGGGTTTTTTCAGCTTGGTATAATAATAATTCAGTCTCTTCTCTGCTAGGGTTTCAGTTCATGTGCGCATGGAAGCAGATCCTCTACTCGGAAGCCTCTGAGCATGGAAAAAAATGACGTTTCCTTTGTTGCAATTTTAAAATGAGATGGAAGGATCCAATCTCACAGGCAAATGCTGCTTCCCTCGGGGCCTGGTGCTGTCGGTGGGACTGTGCCACTGAGTGTAGGTGCTGATCGAACCGAGTCTGCGCAGCCCCCAGGACAGCCTGTTCACCTACTGTGATAGAGAACTATCCTAAGTATATGTTCTCCTCAGTTTACATTGTACAAATTATTTCTTAATTGGCTGCTTTTGAACTAGAATTAGGAATTTGGTTGGTTGGTGATCAGTGATGGATATGGTGTAGTTGGGTTAATGATGGTTGGACTGGATGATCTTTAAGGTCTTTTCCAACCTAGACAATTCTGTGAATCATTACAAAAAAATATCCCTTGTTGTTCTTATGACCCCATTCCTTACAGCATGTGTCCCACCACAGTAAGAAATTTTATAGTAATACTTCAGAGCCTCTGATGCCTTTCATTTCAGGATCTCGAAGCTTTCTACTTGCTAACGCTGCCTCAACGTCCTTAGGAGGCAGAAGGCTGCTTTTGTCCTTCCTTATCCAGTGACAAAGGTGACATCTGGAGGGACTGGGTCGTACTTGGTCACTGCCTGAATTAAGAAGAGCTCTCGCAGCAGCACCAGCAGATGAAGCAATGCCTCCTTTAACCTGGGCACCGCTTGCCCCTGTCCTAGAGTGGTGCCAGAAGCCTTCATCACATGCAAGCTGCTGAAAATACTGCACAAGCCACGTGTAAATCAGCGGCATTTCGGGTTGCCTCCTCTGCGTTCACAGCAAAAAAGCTGCTCTAAGCGTGTACTGTCGACTGTGTTGCACCCAACTACGACAACATTTAGTAGGTAACAAGTTAAAAGAACAGCACAAAAATTTGTGATGCGTAGAGTGGGTGCAAAGCTTGGATCTATTTGTCATTTCTGATTCTCTTCCCTAAATGTGCGATGTAAATAAACACAATCCTTGTAAACGGAGGATTTAGAGGCATGCTTTCAGTATTGGGTCCAAACGCCTAGTTTTGGCCCAGGCAAATAAGAATTTTTTTTTTTTTTTTTTGGTTAGATTTCTGCCTCTGCAAAGCTGGTACTTTATAGTCAGAGTGGTTTGATGAACTCCTAGGAGCAGTGCTCGACCAAACGCCTGGCAGTAGCTTGGGACAGAGATGAGCTGTTTGAGACCTGATCTTAGGAATTTAATGATATTTGAGTACCCAAACCCAGGGGTGGATATAGCTGGTTTGTTGACGGGTGTACCGTGACGAACTGCTGGACGGGGAAGGGGCAGGACTGGTGCTTGCCGTGGTTTGTGCAGGTGGGGAAGCTGAGCTAATGAGGGGAACCTGATCTTACCCCGTTGAGAGGATCTGAAGTGGTTCAGGTTTTGTAGCACACGGGCTTTCTGAGCGGAGGAAGCTGCTTTTCAGTGAGAACGTGGCTCTTGAGAGGAGGGTTGGAATTTGTTTTAAGTTAGAGTTTGTTAAAATCTCTGCTAAAGTTTTGTTGAAACCTAAAAGCTTTGCGAGCAGCAGGCAACGGGGCAGCGAGCAGGCTGGAGGGAAGGGGGTCAGCACTGGGGACTGTGGTGCAGGGGGTGCCCTGCGGCTTGTGCGAGCATCTCTGGGAAATACTCGACTAAGTTCCTGGCTGTGAAACGGAGAAAAGGGAAAAATTAATTGGGTTGAAAAATGTTCTCTTGCCAGCGAGGTAGGGGGGAGAACAATTATGATACAGGGCTCCTAATGCTGCTCCGCCACAGCCTGTTTGTGGGCTGACCCCAGGGCTGGTATTTGGAAACGCTGGTGCTTGCGAAAGCAAAGGGGAGAGAGAGAAATCAGCTAGTGATAGGAGCTGTGCTTCAATTAGTCTGTGCATGTGTGTCAGGTCACTTTGAAGCCCATCCAGTAGCCTACAATTAAGCTGGTTTTTGCTAAGTCACTGAAAACTGCTGATCCTTGGTCGATTGTTCTCCAAGGACAAAGCTGAGGTCACTTGTTTAATGCACTTGACTTCTGACCAGAGATAAGCACGAGCTGCAAAACTTAAAACCTTATTTTAAGCTCTCTCGTGTCTGTCGGCACTCAGAACTGGATTTTCAGTTCAGCCCAGACTATTAGTTGCAGCCCCATGCCCAAATGCTGTTTTCTCTCTGCTTTCTCGGAGCAGGGTTTTGGTTTATGATCAAATAAATCGGAACTGTCAAAGGCAGGCTCCTGTGTGTGCCGCTTAACTCTTCTATTCCATGCTCTGTGTGTATGCAATGTATCTATATTATGTAAATATATATACGTGTATGTACACACGCGAGATGTTTAAAATAAATCTGTTCAAAATACCGAGATGCGTTAACATGAAATTGCAGAGGACATCTTGTGAAAGTCTGGAGTCATAGCAGGTTTTAAAGGCTAAAAAAAAAATCAGTTTGCAGTAGAAAAAACGGATATATTTTGCTTTACTGATGGATAAATAATTACAGGAGATACTGTGGGAGAAATTCAGATGTGCAGCTACAGTAGGGAGAGCAGCTGGAGTTCTGGGTGCTGCCTGGAGAAACCGCATTTAGGCAGAACAGAAGGAGGCAGAGCTAATGATATAGTTTGCTTTTTTTTTTTTTTTTTTTTTTTTTTTTTTAGAGCTTATGCTTTGATACTGGCATCAGAGACACTTTTAGCATTGGTGTAGAGAAGTTTGGGTGTTCCTACAAAATGAGATGTTTACTTGATGTTTTTTAGAAAGCGTATCCCATCCGCTTGCTCCTCCTCACTGCTCTCTGTGACAGCTGGCTCTGAAGAGCTCCAATGAACATCCCCAAAAGAAGGTTTTCTTTTTGATTTACAGTCTCTTTTTTTTTTTTTTAGTTCTCTATTCCTGCCATCTGCTATTACCACTTCTGTAATATTCCTTTGTTTCCCAATCTGTAATTTGAATTGCTTCCTAAGTTTAAAAAACAATATGACGACTTCTTTTTTTTTTTTTTTTCCCCAGGCTGTTTTGGAGAGAGCTTTTCTTCAACAGTTTGATGTTCAAAATCCTGGGGAAAAAAATTTGTAAGGGCCCTCTATCAAAGAAGAAATTCTGCTTGTATTTTCAGAGCCGTTGTCAGGCAGAAGGCAAGAGAGAATCAGTAAAAGATGTACGCCTGTCATTTGCTGTTATTATTTTGGGAGAAATGAGGGAAACCAAAAAAGTTACAGTCATCATGGTTAATTGAAGTTCATGGAGCTCTGCAAGTCTGACTGCAGCAAAGAATGTGTAACAGATCCTCACACATGTGACTGTGGGATAGAGTCTATTTATGTCTCTGTAAACATGAAATTATGAAATACATGCCATGTGTTGTGCATGAGATGGTGCTGGTGAAGTCCTTGTCTGACCTGGTCATCTATTGTTGGACTTGCACCTCTCCAGGAGAACAAAGTGAATTTGAACTTATTGCAGAACATCGTGGTGCTGGAAGACTTTTATTGAAAAAGCAGCAGGTCAAGCAGTAACGCAAGAAACCACCTCCTGTGTTACCAGGTAAGAGGGAAGGTGCTGTGAGTTTCTGTAATAAGAATATCTTACACACCTTGTGGACATAAGAGCACTTCACAAAGCATCTAGAAAAAGAATGACCAAAAAAAAAATTTTTTTTGTGCAGTCCAGATTTGAAACATACTCT